CACAGAAACATCCATTCATGCATGTGTAACATAAAATGAAGAAGAGGTAGAGAACTAAGGAGGACAGGAAGAAAGCATGAGATGGAGAGGGTGAAAGAAGATCAAGAGAGCATACGTGTACATGTACATTAACATCTTACACACACTCTCTTTATATACACATCCCTCAGTATGTACAGTTTCATGATGAGAGTTTCATACCAAAGTAACCATAAACATCTTTCTTTCATCTTGGGAGGAACTCGTATTTAGAAAACAATCACTTGCCTTTACACAGTTTACTGTGAAACATTCATTGATGTACAAGGTTCAGATTCGATCAATAGAAAAGAGATGGAATGGACATCTTCCTTTCAGAATGAATTCCACACAATATGACCACTGTCCTTCTTCCGCAAGGGTCACTGGGTATTGCTGCTCGCAACATAGATGCTTAGTTGAGCATAAGTATTATATTTATGAAATGTTAAAATTATTCTAATAAATAACTCTACTAACTATTCAGCAGGTGGTCTAGTATCTGCTGACACAGAGCAACTAATCAATCATGGAAGAGAAGGGCAGTGAACATATTAACAGGTATTCAAGAGCCAAAAACTGAAGTGTATTAAGTATGAGATAGAACCATATCATTTAAATCTGTAAATATCTTCTCAACATACAAATCATGTGCTGTGTATATCCTAACATGCTTGTGGGGATAGGCCTAGCTATAACAGAATGGGGAGAGGTGTTGCCTAGATGCAAAAACAAGACCAATTAGAAAATCTGATGTTTTTCTTTATTTTAGATACAGCAGCGTGATCCTAATAAAAAGCTTTACTGATCCCATGGTTTCCTACTGGTTGTTTTATCTTTAAATACCAGAATATATTCAGAAAAAAATACAAAATTCTTAACTCACCCAATATATAATCATTGAAAACATGAAAAAAGTATGAGCACATAGGAAGCAGGTCAACAGCACTACACTCACAGCCTGGACAGAATAGCTACAACAATTAACTCAAACACCCTAGTGCCTACCATAAATAAAAGAAGAATCTATTTCAGCACTTGTTACAAAAAAAGGGAAGAAAAGTCTTACTGAGTGTGCAGCTCTCCACCTGCTTCCTTTGATGAACTATCAGCAATATCATAACATGTTTTACTTTCTGCACATTAGTTTAAACGACAGATTCTAATACTTGCCTCTGTCCAAAGAAAAAAATTCTATGTACAGAGCAGGTAATCCTCATATTGTTCTAGCAACAAAAAAAGACAGCAGAGTCCCTTAGCAACACTAGACTGCAGTTCCTTAGTCAACAGTTTATTTTGCAGACCAGCAAATCACAGATGGTAAATTTCATGTCTTGAAATGGAACTCTGAGGCGAGCATTCAATTTCCACCAACTTCCGCAGATCAGATTGTGAGGAACAAGAATATAACTGTCCCATGTAACATACAGTTGCTCTTGATGTGTATACCAAGCCATTAAGAGATATTCTTTAGTCGTCTGTCAATCTTTTCACACCATGTCTTGTGTCTTCCAACCAAAAATAACCTAGAAAATTCTCACGAGCGCAACTTCTTCCTCGGCACCATGCAAAGATCTAGGCACCAGGCAATTATGGTCTAGGGCACCAAAACAACCTAGTGCCTGTGAAAGTTGACAGCCACCAACTTCGGGTCAGACTGCGCCATTTAAGGTGAATGATAGTGACGTTACAGGTATCCCGTTGCTGTCCCAATGCCCCAGACCTCTCATGTTTTGATGTTAGCCTGGAAAGAATAAATGAGGGTGAGGTTTTCATGCACACATTACAAAATTAATGAAATAAAAATAATTTTTTCTAGTATTGGATGTTACTAATTTTTTTTTCCCCTGTACTATTACATCTCTACACTTCTAACAATGCCAAGGATCTTATTTCTAAACTTTTATTTAAATCCCCATTACCTGAAAACAGTGCAGCTATAAGATAGTTGTGTAAGTCTTCCTTTATCTACACAACCATCCACCTTCACCCACATGAAGTAACAAGTAGAACAACGAAGGGAAATAAAAGAAAACACATGAATATGGCAAAGGCATCTTTGCATTTACTGCTTCATCAGGGAATAATGTGCCCTGATCAAGCAGTAAATGTGAAAAGGCCTTCAGCATATTTGTGTTTTCCTGTACTTCCCTTTGTTGTTCTATTTACAATTCGTACATACACAAAAACATTTACATATGCACACATGCACACACACAAAAACATTCACATTTACACACACACAAATATTCACATTTACACACACACACACAAATATTCACATTTACACACACACACACAAATATTCACATTTACACACACACACACAAATATTCACATTTACACACACACACACAAATATTCACATTTACACACACACACACAAATATTCACATTTACACACACACACACAAATATTCACATTTACACACACACACACAAATATTCACATTTACACACACACACACAATATTCACATTTACACACACACACACAAATATTCACATTTACACACACACACACAAATATTCACATTTACACACCACACACAAATATTCACATTTACACACACACACACAAATATTCACATTTACACACACACACACAAATATTCACATTTACACACACACACACAAATATTCACATTTACACACACACACACAAATATTCACATTTACACACACACACACAAATATTCACATTTACACACACACACACAAATATTCACATTTACACAAACACACAAATATTCACATTTACACACACACACACAAATATTCACATTTACACACACACACACAAATATTCACATTTACACACACACACACAAATATTCAATTTACACACACACACTACAAATATTCGATATTTACACACACACAAATATTCGTATTTACACACACACAAATATTCGTATTTACACACACACAAATATTCGTATTTACACACACACAAATATTCGTATTTACACACACACAAATATTCGTATTTACACACACACAAATATTCGTATTTACACACACACAAATATTCGTATTTACACACACACAAATATTCGTATTTACACACACACAAATATTCGTATTTACACACACACAAATATTCGTATTTACACACACACACACAAACATTCACACAAAAATATTCACATTTACACACACACAAATATTCACATTTACACACACACAAATATTCACATTTACACACACAAAAATATTCACATTTACACACACACAAATATTCACATTTACACACACAAACATTCACATTTATACATCTACACATCTACACATTTATACATTTACACATTTACACATTTACACATTTACACATTTACACACACACACACACACACACACACACACACACACACACACACACACACACATTCACACACGCACATTCACATTCACACACGCACATTCACATACACACGCACATTCATATTCACATACACACACACATTCACATCCACACAAAATCATTCACATTCTCACATTGAGACACACAAAAACATTCATATTCACTCATTGACACACACACACACACACACTTTTTCTTTCTTTCTTATCAATAAAGGGTGACAGCATATTTATGCTTAGATGGAAGTCTTTTTACTAATCTACTACCCAACAAAATGCACAACAATGCCCCTAAAAGTATATACAATTCACATGTCTGTTGCTATGAATGAATCAGATTTATTGTATGTATACTGCCAAATACAGCTTGTTTTTTTTTGTTTTTTCTTCTTACAAGTTCATCCTACTTTAGAGGAGCAAGTTACCCCGATTTACATTATGTATATATCCATACTCTTTCAAGTCCATCTTGGGTATTTTATCCCAATCAAAAATTTTACTTCAATATTAAATTTTCCTTCTAAGAAATTCCCTTTCCAAATAAATCTTCATAGAAAGTTATAAAAGAACATCTTCCAGCAAGTGAGACCAACATAGTTTTTCTTGTTATATTTACACTCTGTATGGACTATTTTGTTTTATATTTTCCCTTTTTAGAGCATTGATATGGAATTATATTAAATGACTCAAGAATATCTTAAACAAATTAATATCCCAATATTAGCACTGCTAATTTGAAAATAGTTCCCACATAGTCAGTCAATGGAACTAAATGCATTTCTGACTAAGATATGAATCACTTTTAGTGTTCATTGCGGAGTGAATGCTCATAAACAACAAAATTCATTGTCTTCAGTACTTCAGAATATGAGAGAGAGAGAGAGAGAGAGAGAGAGAGAGAGAGAGAGAGAGAGAGAGAGAGAGAGAGAGAGAGAGAGAGAGAGAGAGAGAGAGAGAGAGAGAGAGAGAGAGAAGAGAGAGAGACAGAGAGAGAGACAGAGAGAGAGACAGAGAGAGAGACAGAGAGAGAGACAGAGAGAGAGACAGAGAGAGAGACAGAGAGAGAGACAGAGAGAGAGACAGAGAGAGAGACAGAGAGAGAGACAGAGAGAGAGACAGAGAGAGAGACAGAGAGAGAGACAGAGAGAGAGACAGAGAGAGAGACAGAGAGAGAGACAGAGAGAGAGACAGAGAGAGAGACAGAGAGAGAGACAGAGAGAGAGACAGAGAGAGAGACAGAGAGAGAGACAGAGAGAGACAGAGAGAGAGAGAGAGAGAGAGAGAGAGAGAGAGAGAGAGAGAGAGAGAGAGAGAGAGAGAATATCACTGCCAGAGTATGCAAATCAGTGAGAGCAGATCTTAGTGACTCTGACTGCCACATCACAATACACAAGCAATGATGCAGTGCAGTATGCTAGTATAGTAAAGTAACTATACTCCATCTTTTTTAATGTTATACTAGAAAAGTTGGTGATGAATGTCTTAATACATGGCTAAATTACACACAAGTGTAATTGTCATTAATTTGTCATCAATCTGTCAAGTACATCTTTGTGAAGAAGAAGAAAGGAAGATGGAAAGTAAACAATGTTAACCCAAAGCCAACGGGCATGGCATGTGCGTACATGCCATGCCTACTGTGAGTTTACTTTATGAATTGTTTTTTGTACTTGGTTACCAATGAGCCAATTACAAATACTGCCTGTCTCACCTGTTTACCCTATTCCTTGATTTTCAAAAAATATTTTACATGATCTTATATTGCTGTTACTAATGTCAATAATAAAAATAACACCATTGATATTCATAGCATTAGTATATATGTATATGTGTATATGTAATATATATATATATAACGTATATGTATAAAATACATATAAAATATACAATATATATAATATATACATATATATAGAAAAAGTGTCCCTCAAATTCAAGGAAAGGTGAATCAGGTAAGGTCATAAGGTGTATTAATTGACTGCTTTGCAGCTAAGCACTTGCAGAGCCATCTATATGCAGAGACATTTATCAAAAAAAAAAATACAGCATGAGGACAGCCTTTCCTGGCAACATTGTGTTAAAAAAGGAAAGGAAGAAAAAGACAAAAATGATGAAAAAAGAGTGGAAAGAGGAAAGGAGAAAGAAGAAAGATGAAAGAATAGTAGTGGTTTAGTATATAGCACTAACAGGATCAAGCCTCCTCAAAGTTTCAGCCATGTATTAGAACAGTTCTATCTATCATTGAAAGGAATTCATGAAACATTTCTTGATTTCATATCTTTAATGTTTCTGCAGTTTCATGAGCCTTGCAACATGTTCTGGGATAACTAACAATACAACTAGATGTTTCATAATGATTATTCCACAGCCACTGATCCTCAAATTCTGCTTGAGAGTTAGACTTTTCATATCTTCACCTACTTCTAAGGATTAATTGTCAAAATAAATTACACTTCGGTCATCAAATAAAAAATAAATAACCAAGTAAAATCATTCCAGTGTTATTTCAAAAGTAATCCTTCCAACAGAATTTTATGCAACACAAACATTACATAAACAATACTCTTTCAAATCATAGACTGCAATCCTTAAGTATCTTATCACAGAGCATTATTTATTTGAATATTTCAGAGGAAAACTCAGTGCCTTTCCCATAATAGTTCATACATTTCACCAAAAGTGAGGAGCAACAACCCTAGTTGATATTTAGACAAAACTCCTAAACATACGTTACATCATGTTACACAATAATTTATTAGTATTATTAGTTTAAATATTAACAATAAAGTTTGCTTATGAAAGCAAAAAGTAGATAAATAAATAAAAAATCTTGAATAAAGAAATCTTATCAAATACAAAAACGTCTTGAATAAACTGATAGTCCAATAACTGACACACTAAAATTACAAGATAAATTCAGGATATTAACATTAACATCAAGACACCTAATACAACCATTATTTAACAAGAGATAATGAAGACTGATGTTAAAGACCATACCATTTTCACATGCAGTAGATGAATAATTAATAATAAACAAAATTCAAAGAAAAAAGGGAAGAGAGGGAAACGTAAAAACAGTTCAACAATACAAAGAGACAATGTACCTATGAGTGTGTTCAACAGCACCCGCCACCTGTATTTGGCTCCACGGGGGCACTGGGGTTGATCTTGACCCCCTGGGTGGAAGCAGCACCTCCGGAGGGGGGTCCCATACGGTTCTTGATCTCAGCCGCCATGGTCATGAAGGCCTGTTCTACATTGGTCGCATTCTTGGCCGATGTTTCAAGGAAAGGGATACAAAGGGAATCTGCATATTCCTGTAATTGAGATCAAACAACAATCAAAAGAAGCTCACTGGAGGAAACTCACTACCCAAATGAAATAATATTAATACTAATTCTGATACTACTAGTACTACTACTAATACTACAACTGAAAAAAAATAAATAAATAAAAAATAATAATAACAGAAAGAATAACAATAAAAAAAATATATAAAACAACAACAATTCATATATGAAACAAACAAGTTTTCCATTTCTAACCACTGAAAAAAAAATAATAATAAATAATAATAATAATAATAATAATAATAATAATAATAATAATAAATAAATACATTTTTAAAAATATAATCTTACCTTTGCTGTCTGGTAATCCACAACTTTCTTGTGGGTGAGATCGCACTTGTTACCCACCAGAAGTTTGTTGACGTTTTCACATGCATACCGGTCAATTTCCTGAAGCCACTGCTTTACGTTGTTAAAGGATTCCTGTAAAGAAGTGAAGAATCATTACTCCTCCTCTTTGTCATTCTCCAAGACTAAACCATATACGTATAAATGCATTATTCCCTTTGAAATTTCTTGACTCTTCTAACCTGATCAGTAGTGTCATATACAACAATGATGCCATGAGCTCCCCGGTAATATGATGATGTGATGGTTCGGAAACGTTCTTGTCCTGCGGTGTCCCAGATCTGGAGTTTGATTGTTTTGCCATCTAGTTCAATTGTTCGAATTTTCTGAAAAATAATAAAAATTATACTAAAATTCTTTACCGCTGCTTATCAATGCAGGTTAAGTTATGGGATTCCATCATGACAATTTTAATAATAAATATAATATAAAGAAATAATATTTTTTTTTAATATACAAACATTTAAGACAAGGTAAAAATATCAAGATTATAATAAATACATTAACCATGTATATACTTACAAAATCTACACCTATGGTACTAATGTAAGACTCTGTGTATGTGTCATCCTGAAATAGAGTAAATAGGTATTAAATATCACAGATAATCATTAATATGGATAGATATAGAACTTTCACTCCCATTAATACAACCATAAAAAATGCACTGTCCAGACCCTTCTAATAATAATACTGAAATGTGTACATACAAAAATTAATAACAACTTGTATACTATCATAGCATTGACTTTACAATTAACTCTAACAGCTATTAAATATTATGCATTAAAGCCCAAACTGGTTGCTTAAAAAATAACTTATGAACACAATGGACAATACTCACAGCAAATCTTAAAAGGAGGCAAGACTTTCCAACACCACTGTCACCAATCAGCAGAAGCTTGAACAGGTAGTCACTGAAAGGTTTTAAAAGAGGGAATTAAGCAATTTTCTTTTCATTGGAGAAATAGACAGTGTCTTATCTCTAGTTCCACTTCTACTGAACCTCTACCTGCATGGATGGCAAGTTTCGAGTCAGCATACATTTGTAACATGTTTCCACAGAAAGGACAACAGATATTGTATATACTTGTTTCACTTTTTGTTTTCTTACTTTCATTTACTTCCTCCTAGATTTATCCTCAAAATTAGAGGAATCTATACAAATCTTCATATAATTTCCAATTAATGTTTTTTAAACATTTTCATGGAGTAGCAGCAATATACCAATAAGACTCTTAACCAAGAAATGAAAACAATGGAAAAATGACACGTTTTAAACATGTGCATAATTCAGTTCAAATCTTAGATTTTCCTTCATCATGGACGACCAGCACGTTAAAGACAAACAAGTCTATTCTGGCTTAAAAACACTAGAAAATAAAACAAACAAGAATTATTAATGATGACCAACTTACGACCAAGACATTTGTTTTATTACAGTAAACAATTTTTATGAATGCGTCTACTTTCAAATATATAAAATTGCCAAATAACTCTTCACTTTTGCATAATGAGGATATAATAACTTTCTATCAAGTTTCCATCTTGCTGATATAAACTTGAGCAACAGTCTGGTTACCAAGCAAATAGCGGCACACTATGGCAACTCATTCATCACATGCACAAACCTACAAGAAACTCTATTCTCTTCGTGTTATTAGTGCCCCCTATCACATGAACACACTCACTTCACACCCACAAACCCTCTGAGATGCATCTAAGTCGACTTCAAACGTAATTTTAGTTTTTGTTTTTTCCATTGCTTTTCGATATCATAACTGCAAAATATTTAACACAAAGCCCGGAGTTCTTTCATAAAGTCCGGCAGGAATGTGCATCTGGACAATGGTCCTACTTCCGTATATTGGAACACTGACTCATAAAATGATATGGGGTCTTCGGGAGTCTGGTAATTGTCACCTGTCACCAGTGGGTCAACAAGCTCCTACGATGACAGCAAATTAATGATCTTCACAGTCAACAGAAAAATCAGCCAGGTCTCTACATAGTGCACCTTGACCAGGCCAAAAGAGCAATAATCCCCGAATTAAAACTAGTTCCACAGTCTAATAAAGTAATTGATAACCTTAACTAGCAAATGAAAAAGAGTACCACTCATCAAAATATTTATAAGAATTTGAGAATCTCTCTATTATGTTGTGTAATATGTACAACTTTGAAAATGGTACACAATAGATATGTTGATTTTTAAAAAATAGGCTAACACAAAAATGTCCCTTTGTATGTCAGTTCCTTAATCTGCAAACTACCTTAACAGAAACTTACATTTTATCAATTAATATATGGAGTAGTCATAAAGAAAATAAATTTGTATAAAATGATTAATATATAAATAGTTCAATTCCAAAACATGCAATGTTTTAAGATTTAATCAGCAATAAACTATACAACAATACATCTGGATTTCTACTAACTGCAATTAATATAAAACATCCAATAATACTGATTGCAGAAATACTAAAATCACTGCATTAAGCCATCCAGTTTCCAACAGCTTCTACTGCACCAATAGTAAGTTGCTTCATACAATTGCCTCATATTTCAAGATGCACTTGACACACAATAAACATCCCGAGATCCACTTACATATGCTGCATGAATGCACTACTTCCATAGGGATTGTGGTACACTTTCTCTCTATTTCCCTTCTCTTTAAAGAATGAATTAACTTCACTGTATCATCAATGTCAAGAAAGACCCCAACTTCACAGCTTCATATAACATTACCATTATCAATACCATTGCATTTGTGCAATTCCTATATCTAGAAGTTCATACTGAAATACCTTGATATACAAACAAACACTGACCATGTTGTTTTCTGATATTACTAACTAACATTATGAGCTAATGCATTCACATATCAAGAGAGTAGGTTAAGTGATCAGTTGAAACAACTGATTTGCTAATGGCTTTTATATATTTATATCTATATGTATATATATATAAATATATATACATATATATATATATATTTACATAAATATAAATATAAATATATATACATATATATATATATATATATTTACATAAATATAAATATAAATATATATACATATACATACACACACACACACACATTATATATATATATATATATATATATATATATATATATATATATATATATATATATATATATATATATATATATATATAAAGATTCCTAATATGAGCTTGATGAACAAGCTTTTTTCTTAAACCATAGTAATTTAAATCTGTTTCAAGTCTAGATACCATCACAATAAAAAGTAACGACATTAATATTGCACATAGGGTGCAGATCCATATTAAAAGTGCATATACCCTGTTCCCTCTCCTTGAGTGGCCAACCTGCCTGCCTGCCATCTTAAAGTGGCTGTGTGAGAGGAGTGGCCTTCCAACAAGGTTACAGATCACCATGTAACAGCATCCCTTGTGTTAACTCTGATGATACATGACTCTGGTGACAATTAACTGTCAGTGTTGTGCTTATCTGTTCTTGGTTTTTCTCAACAGATCTTAATTTTTTCCCACCTTCAACTTCCTGGGCCAGAAAACTAAGAGAAGCATATATAACTGACAAGGTTTCAAAATAACCTTCACATCCACAGCAACAAGAACAAGCTGATATGACTGTCTGAATACATTATGGATGAGTCATAAAGAGTATCAAGAATTAACCAGATGACAATAGAATTAGCTACTACAACCAGTATTATCAGAAAAGCTAAAATGATCAAATAGCAGGCAAATATCACAAAAAAGGACGAGTTAAAATATTTGCAAAGATACCATCTTATTTGTCATTGTAATGAAAGGCTAATATATGTGTTTACTTTTAAAATGTTTATGTAGACAACACTTCAGAACAAAGAAAGGTGGAACCCTCAAAAAGATAATTGCCTTTTCACGTATATCAATGAGACTCCCCTCAGATAAACTGATAAAACTGGGCAAACCAATTAACTGTCACGAAATACAAAACAAAATTAAAGCACACCTTCAATATGGCCATGAATTTGGGATATTCATTTCATTTATAATCAAAATTCATCGCTGTAGCATAATTTCTATCTTTTGTCACCTATAACCATGGACAGTAACTATCAGACAAAAAGATAAGAGTGGTGGTCATGTGACTTGGGAACATGGTTATCTTAATTAATACAATTCAAGAGAATACTTTAACACAAAATACTATTCCGTGCTGTATTATTGGTTTTCTAGAACAAATGTGAAATTTCCTTGCTTCAAACATTACATAGTATTCATTTCCTCTATGATAAAAGAGAACAAAAATAATAATAATGGAAAACATGATAACCAGAACTCATTTACTTATTATTTAACACCAAATCCTCCTAGTAACAAAGGAAAAAAGAGGATTCTATCAATAACTAATCACCAATATGCTAAAAAGGAAATTGCAAACCATACACCCACATAGTTTACCTTTCTTCATTACTTCATGACCAACCCTAAATTTGACACAAACCATAACAATTTAACTGTCAAATTGTATATATAAAAACAATATGCATTATAAGGCTGCCTAAGTATTTACTAACAACTACTGCATTTTCCTTATCAAGCAATAAAGAAAATTTATAAAAACTTAGGCAATTATTTGGCAACTGCAAACTCAGCATTAAAACAAATCTAAGAATTATTTCTATAATTTTTTCTATACACAATTTCTACACATTTACAGGGACTAAACAGCGACAAAAGAAACTATATTTAACGTAACACTGTCGACTTGGCTCTTTAATATCCGCCTTATGGTCCTCCTCCCCTGAGTTTTCCTATCTTCATTACAAAGCTATTTTCCTACCCAAGATCTAGCGGGCGAGACGAAGGGCCCCGATGAAGCCCACTTCACCTAGACCATCCCCGTTTTACCCTTAAAATCGAGATTGAGGGCGATTTCCTTTGTCATTTTACTACGCAGCTGATCCCCTCCTCGGCCCCGCTCAGCTGACTGTGACAGGACCTTCCACGGAACTCTCCTTCATTCTCATTTCTCCACGGCGAGTTATCCCCCTTTTGGAACATTTGCGCCTTCTTGTCGTCCTGATCCGACCAGAAAGTCCTCGAGGAAGGAGGAATATGAGGCGAAATAAGCCGCCCGAACATGAAACGTCAAATGGGATCACCTGATCGAACCACACACTCGGCCAACGAAAATCGACCTCGAACACCCAACACTAAAACTCTCCTTAAAAACAGCTTTAAAGCCTCCATATACTCACTACTCGGGATTCATCGTCGACATCTTCTGCTTGTGGACCTTGAGCGACCTAACTCTCCCGCAGCGGCGACTTTAAACAACGCAGAAACAGGTGGAATATCAGGCCGTTCCTCCCCTCACTGTGACAAGATGGCCGTCCCGTGGCGTGTGCTCTCGCCGATG